CCCCCCCCCCCCCGCGGGGGGGGGGAGGGGTTATTGACTTCAGTAGGCAACTTTAACAGAGACTGTGATCTCTAAATCAGTGCTACTGGGTCACATCATGGCACATTGTGAAGCAGTACGTCTGTCTCTCTATCCAGCCTTTGCTCTGGTCTCTCTCAGCCTACAGATCTGAATTAGCAGGCTACTGGAAAATCTTCTGTTGAAACATTCCTTCAAGAAATTTGGATTACAAAAAAAGTATCTTTTATTTGGAAAATTGCTCCAGGAACTCCTGACCATCTTTGCTCAGTGGAGCAGGAAGGTCACGATTTTCAGAGTAAAAAAGGCAACGCTCAGCAAACTGCCTGACCTCCTCTTGTGCACGTACAACATGCCAGCTACTGATGGAACCCAGTAGAAAGCATGGCAGAATGACTGTGCCGTCATTTGGTTCCAAACAAGTAACACTGGAAGGGGTGCAATTTATTTATTTTCTTCCCTCTCTCATTCCTCCATGTTTAATTCTTGCCAAACTGCAACTGAGTTGAGTTCTTATTGCTCCACTACAGAAAAGCAAAGCAGGGAAAACAAACAAAGAAAACAAAGCCAGTAACTCTTCATTAAAGTGAATTGTTTCAAGAGTAAAAATTCAGAAAATGTCCTAAGACAAACAGGACCGACTACATTAGGTCTTCATTGTGGCATTACTGTGGGATTGATTCACAGGCAAGGTAACCAATACTTCACATTTTTTCTGACCTTTGCAACATCGTAGAGGTACTAATTCCACTAGGATAAATTTTTTCAACAATTTCTTGAGTATTTTAATCAAAAGCACACTTTCCTTCCTGAATGTCAGGCAGTTATGTAATTCTATTTATCTTTTTCATTTTTTATTATCATTTCTGACAGAAAATATTTTTTTGAATCCTTGGTTTGTTTTCCATTACTTAACTTCATATCCTTTTCATAAGACAAGTTTGCTTTGGAACCCAATCCCTGTGGCACTTCCGTTTCCTCATAGAAATTGTTATTTGTCTTAGTTCCTGCATTTAAGTTATAGCTCAATCTTGCTCCATTTTTAGATTTCACCATAAAATAATGCTTTAAATCAAGGTGCATACCTCTGTTACTGTAGTGGATTTCACAAAGGCTTTTCCTGATGTCAGATCTTCCTTAGTCTCTAGACAAATACCACAGCTTTTTGTAGATGAAAGTTTTCCCACTAACAGGATATGTAGCCTTTCACCTCTAAGATAATGTTTTGAATCCTGTCTGTCTCAGTTGCCAAACAAGTGTCAAAGAGCAGCAATGTAGATTACAAGAGCTAAAGTATCTTGATCTAATTTCCAGGGAAAAGATTTTTGCAAAGCATAGGAGGATGCAATTTGTCCCCTTTCTCTTGAGGCTGGCCTTGCTAACCAGGAGCTAGTAATCAGAAACTAAAGGAAGACTAAATCAGTTATGAAATAAAGCCATACATTAAGTCACGCGTTGAAGTTGTTTGCAGATTTCAGTTTCTTAAGTGTAAGACTTAATTGAGCATTAAGATAACATTTACTCTGACCATAAGCATGCACTGCCCGTACTAACTGAGGCATTAGTACCTTTGCTTTCACTCACCAGCAAGAAGGGACTTGTTACCATTGCTTCTAAAATATACATTTTTGCACACATGCTGATGCCTGTTAGTGTTTTTCCACATCAAGGATGGCATACAAGCAGAAGAAAAGCTTCCCTTTTTGTATGCCCAAATTCTATCTATTGCAAGCAAAAATCCTCAACAAAAGGAAGGAAAGTAGAAGGAGACTTCAGCTGAAGATTAATTGAAGGATTTTGCACACAAAAAGAATACTAAAGAATGCCAATACACACCACGTACACAGGCTGGGGAAAAAAAAGATTTTTTTCCACATAACCTGTACTCTGCTGGGGCAGTGCAGATGCTGTAGTTGAGTCTTTGCTGTCCGCTTGTCAGTGTTCACCTTCTACACTCTATTGGGGGGTGGGGGTTGGGGGGGGGAGAGGTTATAAGGGAAGACACCAGCTGCCCTGGGACCATTCTGCCGAGTTGCTATTCTGTTTTGTCAGCTCCAGTGGGCAGGCTTTATTTTCAGTATTTTCCAGATTTTGTTCTACAAAAACACTTTCAATTATGGAAAGTTTCTCTCTTTTCTCCCTAATGTATGCTGAGGCAAAGAAACTGTTTCCCAGTGCTATCTAGGTCTTCCATGAAAAACTTCCCCTTGATTTGAGCAGTCCCTCACAGATCTTTTGTTTGAAATGCACTTATTAAAAAATTTATTTGTATTTGCAAGTAGCCTTCAACCCTTGTTTGTCGCACCGCATCTTTTATTCCTTTCTGACACTTCTGATTTTGCTGACTTTTTCCATCATTTTCCCATTTCTTTGGCTTTGTGATGTTTCAATGATTCTGCTGATTTGCATTCTTTATTCTGTCTATCCCACTCTCCAAGGTTTAGATAACTGGTCATTTTTTGTTGATCAAATACTTCTGACTTGATAATAGCTATCTTGCAATCCCTATTAGTTACAGGGATATAACAGCCTATACTGCTTTGTGCTGTGCTCAGTGAAGTCCATAGACCTTCTCAAAAGGTCAAAGTCATGGTTATGTGTATCAGTACAGAGTTTGGCAAAAAAACTTCAGTTTTTCTATGTATCACTTTGCAGAAAACTAAAAATAGAAATGTAAAAGGAAGGAAAGATTTTGCCTAACTCATGTTCCTAACCACATTGAGGATGTTTATTACTTTACTGATGTTCATATTCATTGTATTCACTATCCTGAAGACTCCAGCTAAGTATTTCTTATAGGAGCAGGACATGTGAAGTCAGTGAGCATTTTCCTGGGTTCATTTGATCATTCAGCTACATGGAAACCAGAACTCTGTTAGAAGTTAAAGGGAAAAATTTGTGTTTGGGTAGATACCCACATGTAAGCCTTCAGCATTTTTACCATAGAACAGTTTTGAATCAAGAGCTTCTGTCCCTTGTGCTGTATTGTAACAACAGCTTACTGTGAGACACTCGAAACACCAGAAATACAAAAGACTGCTATACTAATATAAAAGACTGTAATATCCTGCCAGATTCTATAAAAGAACAAAAAAATGATCAATTAGCATTGTGTTATCATATAAATACTAGACTTAAAGTAACATGTGAATTTAATACAAACTTTAAACTTGAATACAGCCTTAGATGCCACTGAGTCCAAACTTTTCTTCTACTCACAAAAAATGCAGTATCTACAGTACTATAAGCCTAAGAGAAAATTAGCTCACTGAACAAAATTGGCCACTTTGCCTCTTACAGTAAACTAAGCTTCTGCTGCAAAGTTTGGCCTTTAAGTGAGAGCTGTTATCAGTTTTGAGCACATAAAAATAGTAATAGCTTCTACTGCCTAGTCATTAATAGAAAAAAAAATAGGATGATATGGTTTATCACCATGCAAATATATTAGTACCGTATTCTAAAAAACATTAATCTGCTGCATAGAAGTATATCTACAGTAGACAGGACAACACTCACTGAAGAGAGACAAGCAAGTATTGAAACTCATCTTCAGGTGAAATTGTTTTATATTGTTATTTTTAATTGCCATTGCACTGAGTAGATAAATTTTCAATTCTAAGCAATGCAACATTCACAGTTCTGCTCTTTAGTCAAAAGCAAAATAAGAAACCAGTAGATATCTTGTTTAAATTGGTTATATCAGAATCGTTTGAGTTGGAAAGGACTCTTAAAGGTCACCTAGTCCAACTTCTCTGCAATGAACAGAGATACCTACAGCTAGTTCAGGGTGCTCAGAGCCTGGTCCAGCCTGACCTTGACTGTCTCCAGGGATGGGGCATCTACCACATCTTGTATGTCATGGTTAGGAGCACAGTCACACCTGCAAGTTTCTTATTGTTTTGTTTTTCATTTTCTTTTTTTTTTTTTCCCCAATGGTAGACATTGTTTTATTTAACAGCTCACCAGTTAAGGCAAGTAATAAAAGTCAAGAGGATATGAGAATC